GACCTATATGACCCCGACTGGCGCGATGCATGTGAGAGAGACATTGCGGCAGTCAGACGAGCTGTGCTCAAGATGAAACTTCGGAAAAGCTGCCCGCCGTGGAGTATACCCCTTGAGGTCCTTCGCATGCTGCTTCATCCCAGTATGTTATGTGCACGAATGCGTCAGTATCAGCATGCCTTTAGCGCTACTCTGCCTGATATGCGTTGGTTTCACAGGCGTCTGTTTGGGGTCCTAAAAATGGTTCGTGGGATGGGGAAGCTACCGCGGGACTGGAGCCGTTCCTGGGCGTGCCCGATACCGAAACCCTCAGGCAGCATTGGTATGAAAGCCCTGCGTGTTGTGCACCGTATGTGTCACTTCAACAAAGCATACACAAAAACGGTGACAGATAGGGGGGACTACTGCTACACTGACCGTGACTTATTGGACTGTCTACATGGGGGACTGAGATGCAGACGACGAGAGACTGCTCTTACTATCCAACTTGTGACGGGCTGGCGCTTAGCAGCACATGGGATCTCCCACGCAACGGTGTTCTATGATCAAACGAATGCATTTGGCAGCATTAGGTTGGAAGCATTCGACGACACTGACATGATGCATGCTGCACCTGAGGATGTATTCATAGGTACCACGACCAATCACAATAGCTGTATTACGATTGGTGCACAAGATGGACCGTGTCATTTATTAGTCCATGAGGGGGTTCTCCAGGGACATCAGAGTGCCCCCAGTAAATACATCAGGACGTTTGCCCGAACTGTGTTTGCCCCATGGCTGCATCTACGCAACCAAGAACCGACAGCCCAGGATTTAGTATGCCAGCACCCGTGGGATACTGATGAATGCCCGATCGATGTGAGCACCACTGTCTTTCTCGACGATGTTGCACACAAGTTGATTGCTCGCACTGCGCAGGGATTAGCAGCAAGTGTCCGAAGAGCGAGTGAGCAGTTCGACATGCAGTTGCACACAGTAGGAGGAGCTCAGAATCATGGGAAACAAGTTGTCGTGCCGCGTCTTGTGGGGCAGGGAGCACATGTCGAATCTCGTGAGCTGTCTGGTGGACTGTACGTGCTTTCTGGTTCGGTTGCCACGACCACGACGTACTTGGGGGGGCGCTTTAATCAGTTTTACCGTGTGGGCACGCATAGGGAGGCTGTTATCCAGAGTATGAAGCTTGCTTGGTATTCGATGGGGCGTTTCTGGTTTACTGACAAGGTCCCGAGGCATCTTCAGGTTCTGGTTTTCAGGGCGAGGGTCCAATCTGCTGGCCTGTCTGGGATGGAGGCATACTGTGTTTCAGAAAAAGGACTGCGAACCGATTGGTACTCTTTTGGTTAAGTGGGGACGTACTTTGATGCATGGGGAGGGGACCTTAAAAACGCCACAGCCCGATGGGACCGTCAAGCATATGAGTATGCCTTCGCGTGCAGTTTGGAAAGCATTGGGAATGGTACCAACCTTTTTGGAACTCCGCATTCGCAGGCTCCAGTGGTGGCAATCGGTCGCGACGAATCCCCAGGATAATCGACAGTTGCTTGCAACACGTTTTGGCCAGTTTAGGTTTGAGGAACAACCAACGATCCTGGATCACCGACTTATGATGACAGAAGATGGCGACTACCGCGGTAATCCCTGGGCTAGCCAGGTGGTGGGCGATCTGAATTCCATAGGGTCTGTCAAAGGAGGAGAGGAGCTTCTCCAGGAAGGTCTTCACTCGAGAATATGCCAGTCACTTTGAGCAGCTTGATTTCCCACAGCTTCGGAAGGCCTTATGGAGCTCTGAACCATTCGTAGAACCCTCAGAGCACGACCCTCCTGCCCCTCCTCCTCCAGCAGAAGAACCAGCAGTGTGGGTGTGTCGGGAACTCAATGAGGACGGGAGTGAGTGCGGATTGCAGTTCCACGAACAGCGAGGATGGTATGCTCATATGAGGTTTACGGAGGGAGGGACGCACGGACACAGAGCTATATGCCAAGTGCTGACTGTTACAAATCAGTGCCCGTGGTGTATGACGACGTTTAGTAACCGTGCTGTCGCACGCCAACATGTCAGGAACCTGTTTTTGAAGCGGGTGTGTCACGCGGACCGACACCACTTCGTTCACAAAGTCGAGGAACCAACCAACTATGTATGTCCAGCTTGTGGTGACGACTTCCCGAGCCTTTCGGCTCTGCAGGTGCATATACGGACTCACGTACAACTGTCGGCTGAAGCATATATTACACTACCAGCCCCAGAGACTACCCATGGCGACCTGGGCCCTACCCCCGATCACGGCCGAGAAGGCCCAGGCAGCGATGGAGGTGGACGACAAGTCACGCACCTCCAAGAAGAGCTCATTCGGAGATGGCAAAGGCGGAGGCAAGGGCAAGGAGGGGACCAAGTTCAGGAGGGTGGCAGTCGGGGGGGACTCAGCGAACCAGGACGACGAGAGCGATGGCGAAACGGCGGTGGAGGTCATGAAAGCATCCCTGAATCATGCCCAGCGGATTCGAGGGCTCGAGGGCGCGCTCCTCTCGACCCACCTCATGCCCCAGGATAACAGTATCAATGCAGTAGCAGTAGCAGCAGGGCAGCAGTACCGACAGATGGTGGAGGGCAAGCCAGATCACGTACACGGTCCCCCGTCGTTGGCAGTAGGGATAGCGGTGCTCGAAGCTCTGGCGACCAGTGTCCAGTTGAACAGTGTGGGGGAGCTCAAACAGTGTATGGAGTTCCTGAAAGACTTCGTGCAGCGGCTCAAACAAGAGCCTTTAGCAATATCATGCGAATACGTGAAATACTATCGCGTGAAGTCAGCCTACCAGCACGAAGGCCAACCGGCCCAAGTACGACACACATATCTGATCAGTGCATGGGTCCAGATCAACGGAATGATGCAGCCAATGAATGCTATCCTCACCCGCTTCTACATCGCGATGGGCAGTGTACCGAAGCCAGGCCCTCCACCGAGGAACACAGGAGAGCGTCGCATTCAGGGGTCGCTGGAGAGGCTGCTCAGGGGCAAGAAGAAGTGAGTAGTAGTGCACAGATGCCTAGGCCAAATATGAGTATAGCTGAGAGAACGAATGTTCGATTTGCAGGTAAGTGGGCCCCACCAGACAGCTACAACGCTCCGAGGAAGCGTCGTAGGAGGGCGTCTGGGTAGGGATGAATTTCTTGCAGGCCAGGGCTGGCCTCCTTGTGTAAGTCTTTATGCAATTAACTTGTTGTCCGCACCCCCCAATCGCTGCTCTATGCGCTGCTGTCTCTCCCCTCTCTGTCGTCGTCTCCTCCCCCTCTGCCTCGCCTTCTTCTGGCTCCGTGGCCTCTCGCGCTCCTCTCGTGGGGTGGCCCCCCGCCTCTTCCTCTCCTTCGTCGTCCTGCTCCCTGGGGGGTGCGGGCGGGAGGGAGCATGAGGGAGCCGCGGATGGGTAGTGTCCGAGAGCGACCGTGCGACACGGACGCGATGGACCAGGCACCGCCCCTCCATCTCTCTCCCATTTTCTTTCTGCCCTCAGTCTGATGACATGTTGTGGCTCATGGTGTCCCCGTAGTTGTGCCAGGGGGAGACTCCCAATGTTTTGACAACGCGGGATGCAGAGTGCATCACTCGCGCACGCCGATCCCACGCTTTGCAAGGTAAGTGAGCATCTGGATCATTTGGCGATAGACCGACCGACCGACCTCCTCCTCCGCATCCTCCTCCTCCTCCTTCTCCTCCTCCTCCTCCTCCTTCTCCTCCTCCATCGCGCCCTCGCCTCTCGCGGCCGGGCCGCCGCTCTCCGCGGCGCGGGCCGCTCTCCGCGGCGCGGGCCGCTCTCCGCGCGGTGCGAGGTTACGGCGCTTGGCCGCAGGGAGGGCAGGGGAATGACGAGGCAGTGTTGCGCAGCAGTGATGGGAGAGGCACGGGATGAGGAGGGGCAGCGGCTGATCATTTAATCGCTTCGCTCATTCCGCCGGCCCTGGAGCGCTATTTGGGGCCTCTTGGGGCCGTCTTGGGGGCCTCTTGGGGGCTTCTTGGGAGCGTTTTGGGGCTCCTTGGCTGAGGAGGGGCAGCGGCTGATGATTGATGGGTGTGCCGAAGTTTGCGATGATGGTGACGGAGGTGGTGATGGTAACGATGATGGTGGTGCTGCTGGCGATGATGAAAGGAAAAGACGCGGGACTCACTCGACTCCCTCTTTACCCATATTGGTGACGTACCGCCAACACTAGAATCGTACATCTGCCGACCAATCAAAGTGGAGCATGCTGCACACAATTTCCCGTGCATCTGAAAGACGATTGCGACACACTGGGACTTACAACAAAGGGCCCATGTACAGTCGGACCTCGGTCAGAAGCACATCATTCAAGAACATGAAACACAGTGCATCCAAGGGTATCCTCCCCAGGATGCACAAGAGCATCCAACAATCACAACACAAACATGAGGGCACCCTCCCAGACCTCGATATGATACCTGGCTCCAACTGTAACCGTCATCAGTGCTGCTTGCGCCCAAACCACCCAGAACCCAAGCCATACACACCTTGAAAGCCTTGACCATCAGAGAAGATACGCCGATCCAGTACACCCGCGCGGGTCTCCGAACACTTAGTTGTATGCAGGTGCTTCTCTCGCGAGTTCCAGCGCGCAAGAACGTTAATCTTGGGACTCGGCCGCATGACGCGGTAAGCGACACGCTTGCAACTGTCGCGACCCACGCGCCTGCTACCGTCGCGGACGTAGAAGGAAACGACGCTTGACAACAAAAGGTGTTTGCACATGTGACGCCGTATGGTGCGGCATTCTCATTCCAGCGGCCAGTCATCGGTTATGAGAGTTGCCCGCCCTGGCCTGGTACAAACTGATGTGAGCAGGCGTGGAAAAGTAGATGGAAAACGGTGTGACACAATTATGGAAGCATGGACGTACCTTTCCCCTCCTCCACCTCACCACCTTCTGCCGCCTTCCCCTTCTCCTCGTCCTCATCGAGCAGCGGTAACCAAAAAAGAAAGAATAAGAACCTCCATGTCCGTCTCGTCGGTGTGCAACCGCTTGGATCGCTGCCTCTCGGGTGCGGCCGGGCCAAGGCACCCCTCCCATGTGACGCCCGCCTTTCCGTGACGATCCCCCCCTCTGTGGGTGGACGAGAGGAGGAGTGGCAGACCCAAACCTGAGGCGGATTGTCTTTTCCATCGAGCCTGTTGTCTTTGATGTCGGCCCCGAAAGGCTTAAGACTGTCCTGGGTGACGGGCCGAGCCCTCTGGGGGGGGCGCGGATTGAAAGACCCGTCGGCCCTTCCGGCGTGTGTGAAGGGATGACGGTCTCCCACCTCCAGCAACTTCAAGATCCCTCGCCGTTCCCCTGTGGCCACCCTGGGACCTCCGCAGGCACGTCCGCACGTCAGCCCACATGGAACAGCCGTGCGCGGTGTCGTACGCACTCGTGCCGAAGGGGACCCCTTTTCCCTTTTGAGATCCCTTCCTCGCCATGGGGGGAGATGGCGGGCAGGGTGCGGGGGGAGGGCCTCAACGGGGCGCCACGGAGCGGAACCCTCAACTCCGGGGGGGAGCTCCCCCTGCGGGCAAGATTCATTTCCATATGCGTTGCGTCTTGGACTGCCTGAGACAGGGCGCCAAAAGGCCGAGGCGCTGTGGATATGGATACACATGGATAAACATGTAGCCTCGAGGGGCCAAATGCTTAACCATATCAAGTGGGTTTCTGGTTTTTGGGGAAGGGAACGCGAAACTCCACGACGCAACGGGCATGGTTACAACTGTTGCCTCGGTTGCACGTCCTCCCGACGCCCTGAGCTCACACATGCAGACGGGATTCGGAATCCAAACGTCTAGCCCGACCCAGAGTGGCCCCTGGGGCCCGTGCTGGATCAGTTCGCGCAGCATTTCACGAGCGTTCCAGGCTGCCCCCCGAGGCCGGCGCTACCGTGGCCTGCAAGCCGGCCGGGCGCCAGAAAACTCACAAAAACGCGCGACCGCCAGCCTCCGCTACGGTTATGTCGGGCATGTCCTACTACAGACAGATTTGGAGCGAAAAAATAAAAAAAATACTCCAGCAATTCTTTTTGTGAGGTCGCAAGAGCGCGTTGAACAAATACTTCGAACACTCTCAAGAAATAGCCTGCCGCCTGCAGAAATAATGCTTCGTTGTTGTGATTTCCCCTTCGGCGTTTCGGCGCGCGCGAGCCCCGCATATATAGGCGCGTCATGCTAGGGGCGCACCCTGTTCGAACAGCGCGAACGGCAACCGCCGCCGATGTTCTACAAGACGACGCGTCACGCACTCGTTGGGTGAGAATTCGCGCGGGGGGGGACCAACTCTGCTGAACACTAAGCCAAATCAGCGCGGTTCATCCTAAGTTGGCGCGCCGCGAGCGAAGGACCCAGAGATGCGATGTCGTGACTTTTTCAATACAGGGCCCCCAGAAGTCTCGACGCATTCCGCAGCACCGGTGCTTCATCCCGAGCCGTTTCTTGACGGCCCCGAGGCCCGGCGAGGGCCCCCAAGGGCCGAGGCTTGAAAAACACCCTCCGTCTCGATGTGTTCAAGACGTTTCTTTGGGGGGTCGCGGCCGCGGGCGAGAGCGCAACTGGCGAGTCGTAAGTCCGGGGTGCGGGCCTACTAATTAACAACAGGAGCAAACTAGAGCCGCACACCTAAACTGCCCAAGCTGCCTAAGCGGCGCCTCGCGTGAGCTGCAAGCTGCACTGAATGTGGATGCCAGGGCCAGGGGCTGAAAGCGCCCACACAGCGTCCATGCAAGCATGGCGCTGGGGGCACGTGCCCGAGGCGTCGAGAAGTCAGCCCACAACACTGCCCGAGCCGCCGCAGGGCGGCCGGCGCCACAGGAGCCGCCACCGCCGCCGCGGGAGAGCGGGCGCGGAGGGCGGCAGGGCGGCGCCGCGACGGCGGGCCCGAGGAGGAGCCCCCTCTGGAGGCCCGACGCACGCCAGGGCTCCTCCTCCTCCTCCTCCTCCTCCTCCTCCTCCTCCCTCCTCCTCCCTCCTCCTCCTCCTCCGCCTCCGCCTCCTCCTCCTCCTCCTCCTCCGCCCCCCTGGAGGCCCGACGCACACCAGGGCTGCACCCAAACGGTCGTTTTCTTTTCCGTTTTGCTGTCGTTTCCCCTCGCTTTGCGGATGAACGGCCCGCGAACTCACCAAAAGCACCGTTTTTAGGTCGGGCCCCGACGCGCACCAGGAGGAGCCGGTGCTCGAGCCTCGAGGGTCAGGCTGAGATGGTTGAACCTAAACGGTCTTTTTCTTGTTGTCGTTTTGTCGTCGTTTCCCCTCGCTCTGCGAAAAAAACGGCCCGCGAAGTCACCAAAAACACCGTTTTTAGGTCCGGCCCCGACGCGCACCAGGAGGAACCGATGCTCGAGCCTCGAGGGTCAGGCTGAGGTGGGTGAACCTAAACGGTCTTTTTCTTGTTGTCATTTTGTCGTCGTTTCCCCTCGCTCTGCGAAAAAACGGCCTGCGAACTCACCAAAAACACCGTTTTTAGGTCCGGCCCCGACGCGCACCAGGAGGAGCCGGTGCTCGAGCCTCGAGGGTCAGGCTGAGGTGGGGCCCCCGACCCCAGCCCCAGGTCGGGCGTGTCCTCCTACAGGCGGATCTCGGGCAAATGAGAAGACACATAGTCAATACAGAAGCAAACACAACATGCACAAGAATACTCAAGCATCGTCCCCCGAGTATGTTTTGAAACTCGTTCCGAATCTGCCTCCCGTAGAATTAAATCGGGCCTGTCCCCCTACAGTGGGATTGTCTACGAAAAATAAGAAATACCCCAAAAATACGCCAAAAAGGTCAAACACACCCCCAAAATAGTTCCCAGACTATTCTTGGATTATTTTTTTACTATTTTTGTTTTTCATTTTTCGTCGAAAATTCCCTTGTAGGGGGACAGCCCCGACTTAAACCGTAGAAGGGCACCGTAGAGTCCACCCTCGAACCTCGAGGAGGGGGGGTCCTCGACCCCAGAGCCCTCTGGCGGCTTCCGGACTCTGGGCCTCCGGGCAGGCCAAAAGCGGGCGCCCGCGGCGGGGCGCGAGGTCCGGGCAGGAGACGCGAGCCACGACGACGCCGGCGCCGACGACGACGCCGACGACGACGATGACGGGATGCGTGCTGGCCGCGGCCGCCCAAGAACCGGGCACGGCGAGCCCCGAGCCGACGGCATGACTTTGTGAGTCCGCGGGCCCCAGGAGCTCTCGCTCAAAGCCCTTTCCCTGCAGGCAGCAGTTGGCCTTTCGTCCCTGGAAGAACAGCAGAAGAAGCTACGTATTCATGAGCTGCCGAAGGTCCGCGCGGATCTCTTGGATCGGCGCTGGACCCCCTTCCCTGGCGCGCGGGGCGCGCCAGAGGGCCGTCGCGGGAGACGCCGCCAGGCGGTCCAGCACAGATCCAAGAAGTCTACGCCGACCCCTGAGACCTTTGTCTATACCTCTTTCTCCCCCCCGAATCCCGGGCCCAATGTCTTTTTTAGGAGGGGGAAGTCAAGGGCAACACCACGTCGTCTGCTGGCTCTTCGGCTCGCCGCCCGGCTGGCAAGCGGTTGTTTGCCGCGCGCCCTGGCAACCCGAAGGCAATGGTCAGCCGACCACAATGGCGGGATGGGCCCCACACTCGCAGGTGTCATGCTCTTCTGTGCCCCGCCTGCTGCCAGGAGACTGCGGACTCCCTCTGGGCAAGGTTTCCTCTCAGGCTGTTGGCATTGACTCCAGTCCCCTGTCGCCAGCTGCGTACTTCCGCACAGCGGTACAAGCCTGGAGAATATTCGAACCCAGACCGAAAAGGCCCAAGAACACGAAAACGCCGCACAACGTTCGGGGGTTGACGTGGTGGTCCTTCTCCGCCTCGCCATCGTAGCACTTCTCGTCGCTGGTGCCCGACCAAACATCAAAGCCCCAAACCGTAAGCCCGATGGAACAACAACACCCGACTACTGCCATCACCGCCTCGCACAAATAGAACATGCGCTTCTCTACCATGGCAACGCCAAATATCAGTGTCACCACGAAGATAGGGGCAATCAAGTTGTACAAGCCGAAAACCTTCATGAACAGTTCTAGCGCCTTCTCACACGAAGGCAACACGTTGGCGGCCGCCAGCCAGAAGACCAAAGGGACCCAGAACAGACAAGTACCAATCATGCAAACTGAAATCGGGCACGCGAGCGGGGCCGATCGTCGAGCCACTGTTGCTTTCGAGGCCTGAGTCTCTGGCTGGCCATCTTCGACGTCCGGAGAAGGATTTCCGACGGTCGTCATCTCACTTGGCTGGGCGACGGCTTGAACCGAACTGGCCACGGAGTCCCGGGCCCAGTGCCCCAGGGCCCCCCCGGGGCCTGGCCGCCAAAGGCTGCCGACGGGCAGAAGAAGCGCTGGGGCTGGAGATGTTGGCCCCGGGCGTGTCCTGGGCGGTTCGATACCTCCTGGGCGGCGGGGTCCGAGCGAATGGGGTCGGAGGATCTCGCCGCATCGCCGATGCATCGGCCATGCAATGGCGACGTCGGCGATGCATCGGCGACGTCGGCGTGGAGGAGATCGGGCCCCACATCGATCCGCATCGCCAATGCATCGCCGATGCGGCGCGATCCTCCGACCCCATCTACTCCGACCCCACCTAGGCCTGGAGTAGTGGGGGTGGGAGTGGGGGGCAAAGCATGCGAGGCGGAGAGTTCTCCACGACCACAGCCTCGGGGATCGAGATGTCGGGGGATCTCGGCGGGCGGTGGGTACATTCCTCTTTCTATATTTACCTAACAGCGAAGACTGATAAGTTTCTAGTGGGCTCAAAAGAAAGCATCTTGACTCCCTGCAGGGGGGTCTGGGCGGGTGCCGGGAGAAGCCGGGGAACCCGGGGACTCCCCAGGACTCATATAGATTCTTATAGTTTCCTATGGATTCCTACAGATTCTGTTCCCAGAACACAACTCCCAGGCCACATTTTGAATGCCCGGAGCCAACTGTAGGCAACCTCGTGTTCTTCGTGTTCCCTGAACACCATTCCCAGGCCACAGTTTGAATGCCCGGAGCCAACTGTAGGCCACTTCGTGTTCTTCGTGTTCCCAGAACACCATTTCCAGGACACATGTTGAATGCCCGGAGCCAACTGTAGGCCACTTCGTTTTCTTCGTGTTCCCAGAACACAATTCCCAGGACACATGTTGAATGCCCGGAGCCAACTGTAGGCCACTTCGTGTTCTTCGTGTTCTCAGAACACCATTCCCAGGACAAATTTTGAATGCCCAGAGCCACCTGTAGGCCACTTCGTGTTCTTCGTGTTCCCAAAACACAACTCACAGGCCATATTTTGAATGCCCGGAGCCACCTGTAGGCATTTTGAATGCCCGGAGCCAACTGTAAGCCACTTCGTGTTCTTCGTGCTCCGAGAACACCATTCCCAGGCCACATTTTGAATGCCAGGAGCCATCTGTAGGCCACTTCGTGTTCTTCGTGTTCCCAGAACACAACTCCCAGGCCACATTTTGAATGCCCGGAGCCAACTGTAGGCCACTTCGTGTTCTTCGTGTTCCCAGAACACCATTTCCAGGACACATTTTGAATGCCCGGAGCCATCTGTAGGCCACTTCGTGTTCCTCGTGTTCCCAAAACACCATTCCCAGGACACATTTTGGATGCCCGGAGCCAACTGTAGGCCACTTCGTGTTCTTCGTGTTCCCAGAACACCATTCCCAGGACACATTTTGAATGCCCGGAGCCAAGTGTAGGCCACTTCGTGTTCTTCGTGTTCCCAGAACACAACTCCCAGGCCACATTTTGAATCCCCGAGCCACTTGTAGGCATTTTGAATGCCCGGAGCCAACTGTAAGCCACTTCGTGTTCTTCGTGTTCCCGGAACACCATTCCCAGGACACATTTTGAATGCCCGGAGCCAACTAACTGTAGGCCACTTCGTGTTCTTCGTGTTCCCACAACACCCTTTCCCAGGCCTCATTCTGATTGCCCGGAGCCAACTGTGGGCCACTTCGTGATTTTCGTGTTCCCAGAACACCAGTCCTGTGCCATATTTTGAATGCTCGAGCTGAGGCAGGCTGAGGCCGAGGCAGGCTGAGGCCGAGGCAGGCTGAGGCTGAGGCTGAGGCACGCCGAGGCAGGCTGAGGCTGAGGCTGAGGCAGGCTGAGGCTGAGGCAGGCTGAGGCTGAGGCTGACGCAGGCTGAGGCCGAGGCAGGCTGAGGCTGAGGCTGAGGCAGGCTGAGGCTGAGGCAGGCTGAGGCTGAGGCTGAGGCTGAGGCTGAGGCTGAGGCAGGCTGAGGCTGAGGCTGAGGCCGAGGCAGGCTGAGGCTGAGGCTGAGGCAAGCCGAGGCACGCTGAGGTTGAGGCTGAAGCTGAGCCAGGCTGAGGCTGAGGCTGAGGCTGTGGCAAGCTGCGGCTGAGGCAGGCTGAGGCTGAGGCTGATGCAGGCTGAGGCTGAGGCAAGCTGAGGCTGAGGCTGAGGTAGGCTGAGGCTGAGGCTGAGGCCGAGGCAGGCTGAGGCTGAGGCTGAGGCACGCCGAGGCAAGCCGAGGCAGGATGAGGCTGAGGCTGAGGCTGAGGCTGAGGCAGGCTGAGGCTGAGACAGGCGGAGGCTGAGGCTGAGGCAGGCTGAGGCTGAGGCAGGCTGAGGCTGAGGCAGGCTGAGGCTGAGGCCGAGGCAGGCTCAGGCCGAGACAGGCTGAGGCTGAGACTGAGGCTGAGGATGAGGCCGAGGCAGGCCGAAGCTGAGATAAGGTGAGGCTGAATGAGGCTGAGGCTGAGGCAGGCTGAGGCTGAGGCAGGCTGAGGCTGACGCTGACGCAGGCTGAGGCCGAGGCAGGCTGAGGCCGAGGCAGGCTGAGGCTGAGGCTGAGGCAGGCTGAGGCTGAGGCCGAGGCAGGCTGAGGCTGAGGCTGAGGCAAGCCGAGGCAAGCTGAGGCTGAGGCTGAAACTGAGGCAGGCTGAGATATCCGGAGGAATCCATAGGAATCCTTGGGAATCCATAGGAATCCTGAGGAATCCGTAGGCATCCTTAGGAATCCGTAGGCATAGTTAAGCATCCTCAGGAATCCTTAGGAATCCTTAGGATTCCCTAGGAATCCTTAGGAATCCCTAGGAATTCCTAGGAATCAGAATTCCTAAAGAATCCTAAGGTTTCCTAAGGATTCCTATGTATTCCTAAGGATGCCTAAGGATGCCTTAGGAATCCCTAGGGATCCTTAGGATTCCATTAGATCGTAAGGCCGTTGCCACTGCGACTGCGACTGCGAGAACAGCAGAATTCTACAACTGGATTCTCACCTGAATCTTAAGGGGAATGCTTCCAAATATGCTTATACACATCGCTGTTAAGTTGCTTTGCCGGGATAATCTTACAAGCCCGGGCGTGGGGAAAACCCGTCCCCCCCCAAAAAAAAACCGGACTCCCGGGATCTGGGGCGTAGGGACCCTCTGGACGGGCCTCGAAACGGCCCCTAGGGCCTCGCAGGACGTGGCGCGCTCCCGAAACGACCCCAGAGAGCCCCAATACTGTCGACGACGACCCCCAAGAAGCCGTCATACCCACAAAGATCGTCCCGAAACGTCCAAAGAGGCCTCCAAGAGCACACCCAAGAAGGCCCCAAGAGGCGAAAATCCTTGATTTTGTTTGCTTATGGCTTATTTTGGGGTTCTGCTCTTTTCGGCTTCCCGACGCTCCAAGACGGCGGTCTTCTGGGCGTCCGAAGCCACCTGGGAGGCTCCAAAATCGCCCCACAACCATCCGAAAGGGCTTCCAGGCAGTCCAAGAGAGCCCCAAAACGGCACAATAGGGGTCCAAGATGGCCCTCAGGGAGCCCCATGGCGGCCCGCCGGCCTCCTTGTGGGGCCACCAGGCTGTAGGACCAGGGTTTGCTGTTCCCTGCACCAGTTCCAGCTTCCAGTTTCCCCTGTTACAATTCTGCTTTATGCTGCTTGCTGTTCCTGTAGACCGCGCGAGGGGGGGAAGCCGAAAAGCACCCTGGTTAGCACCTCCTGGGAGGGTTCTCAGAATTTCTGGGGGGGGTCGACATTTACACCATTCACGCCGATCGGCGGGGTCAGGGTTCAAAAACACATAGGAGTTGCCACATTTCTGAAATTCGGCGGCATCCCTCACGCAGATCGGTGGGGTCAGAGTCAAACAAACCCATGGGATGTGCCTCATTTATGAAATTCGGTGGCACACCTCACACAATCGCCGGGGTCAGAGTCCAAAAACATGTTGGATTTGTCACATGCCTTGAAATTCGGTGGCACCCCTCACGCAGATCGGTGGGGTCAGGGTCCAAAAACATATGGACTTTGCCACATTTCTGAAATTCGGTGGCACTCCTCATGCAAATCGCCGGGGTCAGGATCGAACAACACACTGGATTTGCCACATGTCTTGGAATTCGGTGGCACCCCTCAAGCAGATCGGTGGGGTCAGGGTCAAAAAACACATGGGATTTGCAACATTTCAATACTTCGTAGAACAGCTTTTTGCACAGCATACGCAACTCGAAATGCAACACCGAACTCAATAATATAATCATAATCACAATTTGTCTCCCCGATTACTCATTGTCTTCGCGTGAAGTCCCGACGCTGCTTCACGGCGGCGCCAAGGCCTCATGAGTTCGCTCTTGCATTGCCCATTATCCGAGAGAGGGGGCCGGCTGCAGGGGGCGACGCCCTTACGGATATATATATATAATATATTATATATATATATATTATATATATATCTCTATATATATATATATATATATATCGGAGGTTGGGGGGTGATATCGCAGTGGAACGGAGACCCCCAACCGGGAAATCGTTTCGTTTCGTTCGTGTCGTGCGTGCGGGCGAGGCGAAGCTGTGTGGGCGCGAGAGGAATGAACCCGCCGTTGCTAGGGCGAAGTCAAGACAAATGTTGCTGCTCCGCCTTCCGTCCGTCCGCCTTCCGTCCGGGCGGTGGCCCGCGGTGTCCCGTGGTGTCCTGTGGTGTCCCGTTGAGTGAGATCGATAATGAGATCGGTACTGAGATCGACGTGGTGCCCCGAGGTGTCCGGTGGTGTCCCAAAAAGTGAGATCGATAGTGATATCGATAGTGAATGATATCGATACTGAGATCGATGTGGTGCCTCGAGGTGATCGACAATGAGATCGATAGTGAGATCGTCAGGTGTCCCGTGGTGTGAGGTCGATAGTGAATTCGATTGAGTAAGTCAGATGTTGGTTCCCCCCCACAACCTCCTTATCACCCGAAGGGTGGTCGTATAGGCGTGTATAGATATATACACATATGCCCTCCTCCCAGGAGCTCGAGTGCATACATTATCGCCGACATCCCCGAATATCAATCCCCTCCGAACGGTGGTCATGAATCAACTCCCGCCTCCGTCATGAATCAACTCCCCCCTACCCAGACCGCTATTCCCTCGACGTCTCCCGGGGTGCGTCACGACAGAGCAGGCGGACGGACGTCAAGAGCCTCACCGAGAGATGCGGAGGAGGAGGAGGAGGAGGAAGAGGAGGGAAGAGGAGGGGAGGAGGAGGTGCACCAGGAGAAGGATGAAGATAAGGGAAGAGGAGGAGGGGGAGGAGGAGGAGGAGGAGGAGGAGAGGGGAGGAGGAGGAGGAGGAGGACAAGGACGAGGACGAGAAGGAGGATGAGGAGGAGGAGGAGGGGAAGAGGAGGAGGAGGAGGAGGAGGCGGAGGAAGAGGAGGAAAGGAGGGAGGAAAAGGAGGAAGAGGGGGGGAGGAGGGAGGAAGGAGGAGAGGAGGAGGAGGAGGAGGAGGAGGAGGAGGAGGAGGAGGAGAAGGAGGAGGAGGAGGAAGAGGAGGAGGATGGGAGAGGAGGCGGCAGAAGAAGGCGGAGCAAGATTCGGCCCGCGGCCGAGCCTCGCGTCCCGCAGCTGGCGCCCGAACGGCCTGGAGCCTGAAGGGGGGAAGCATAAGGCGGTGAGGCATGGGTCCGAGGAGGAGAAGGGGGAGGAGGAGGAGGAGGAGGAGGAGGAGTAGGAGGAGGAGGGAGGAGGAGGAGGAGGCGGACAGGGAGGAGGAGGAGGAGGAGGAGGAGGAGGGAGGAGGAGGAGGAGAAGGAGGAGGAGCAGGAAGGCCCTCTCCCCCTTCAACTCATAGTGGTGTTGGTGGAAAACAGCAAGGACCGACCGTCCTGGCGTTCCAATAGTCCTACCACGAAATGTTCTTAGAACCAAAAAATGTTTTATGAACAAACTAATGTTCTTAGAACATACAGTCGGGGCGTTGATCTAAGGAAGCCCAAATAAGGAGCGAGGCCCCTTTTTTCCATAAGTTAAACTTCGATTTCCTGTCGAAAACATAAGGGAAACCTGAGGCAAACTGTGAAACACTGAAGGAACGCGGAGCCCCTCCCCAACGAAAAGGGCTCCTTCTTCAGGGCCCCGACTGTAGTCCTACCACGACATGTTCTTAGAACCCAAAAATGTTCTAATAACAAAAGCAATGTTCTCAGAACATAAGCCCGATGTGCTGAATCAAGACAGTATCCGCCTGAAATGTTCTAAGAGCATTTCGTGGGAACCACAAAAGGTTCTTAGAACATTGTTTGGTGGGGCTAAAGGCGAGCAGGGACGCTTCGCCACTGCTTCAGAGAGAGGAAACGTCGGTGCCGACCAGGACCATCGCCAACGCTGGCCAGCGTCGATTCCCAGACATCGGGCTCCCCGAAGACATCGAGAGCGCAGGCCTTCCGTCGTTTTCGGCCTCTCGGGGCCCCTCACCGGGCTTCGGGACCGTCAGAAAACGACTCGGGATGCAGAACCGGTCCCTGGGAAGTGGTCGGGAGATCGGGGGCCCGCGCCTCGAAGAAACCGAAGCGTCGGATGTCGGGGTTCGCGGGTCATCCTCGCGAGTCGGCGGCGGTCGGCGTCGACCACCGGCGGCACGCCAGGGGGGGAAGGCCGGCTGATGGGGCAGCAGGCCTCCGGCCTTCCGAGGAGGGCCCTGGGCCTGCTCCGAAGCCACAGAGGGCTTCTCGGAGGGCCAGGGCGCTTCCGAGAGGCACGCGCGAGCACGGGTTGGGGATCCGGGGGTCCGGCGCGCAGGCGCGCGCCGGTGCGGATCGAGGGGGGGAGCACCAGCTCGAGCGTAGGGCCGGCGCCGCCCCCTCTGGCGACGGAGCGCATGGACTCTGCTCGGCAGCGGGACCAGCACGCCGCGAATCCATGTCTGCGCGTCAAAACACACACACACAACCTCCACAAGATGGGTGGGAAAAAGGACTATCAGAGGGCTTCATTCGCCTCGTCCCCCATTATTGAAGGTGTGGTGTCGGTGCGGCACAAATCATAAGAAACGAGCGATCCCCCGAAGGCCTGGAAGTCTACGCAGCAATACGACTCTGAACGGCCAAAGAACTGGAATGCTTGCAGCAAACGTCGCTAGAAAAGCAGCCCCTCCTGTAGGGCTGTCCAAGAGGTCTCCGCAATCCCCGAAAGAAGGGGGGTCGCTGCAGGACGGGTCACCGTCCACAACGCTATGTCTAAAATCCTCGGAGCTGGGAGCCTCGGGGATGGGGGGGTCGAAAATGTCACGAAAGCCCTGGAACCAACGTGCACGTAGAATATTCATCAAGATACGACTGCCAAGCCAATAGGGAACCTGATCCACGACTCGGGTAAGTGCGAGCCCGAGGTGATCAACAGTTTCCAAGAAACGAACACGAAGCCCGTCAAGCAGCAAGCCTGACTGCCAAATCGCAATGACGAAAATCCCTAGAAGCATAATAAGGCACCCGCACCACATTACAATCATGATTGAATGCAGGTAGTTCACCACGCTCCCAAAAGACAGATCCATATCCGTCTTCGCGCGGTCAAAAGAGTGCTTAGTCCGCTTCTTCTTAGCATAGTTACGAGAAGAGGGCATGCGGAGGTACATGGCACGTTCATCATCAGAGGAGGGCACTCAGGCGGCAGGCGGGGCTGGCTGTAGAGCGTTGGCGGCAATCTCGCCGTCGGCCGTCAGAAAGCGAAAGAGGTAGGTCCCGATGCCACCCTTATCCAGGTCTTGGATGGCCTCATTCACGGAACCCAGGGAAACTAACTTCTTCCTCCACTGGTCCAAGCTCTTAAGCTTGGAAACGGACTCCCACCACGTCACGTACGGAATGCCATCCCTCGGGTAACCTTCCTTCATTCCCTTGAACTGCGCGTTGCTCTGGACACCGAGGAACGTCGCTACCCCCGTGTGGGCCGCAAGGAGGACCTGCGGCTGGAAGAACGGGTCGGGGGCTCCCTCCTCCGCTGGGGGAACTGCATGGTCTCCAAGGCCGCCACCACCAGGGACTTGGATACGATCGAACTTGTCCATGAGCTTCGCCATCATGTGCTGGGTCTGCTTACATGCGACCTGGTTCTCGGTGCTGACTGCCTTGATCTCAGAAATGCCCTTGGACTGGGCGTCCACGCGGCTGGTCGAAGCATCTAGATCGGCACGCAGGCGCTTGACTTCGTGGTCGTCTGGGCCCGCATGGCCAGACATCCCCGAGCCAGGCAGCGCGAACTCCGCCAGGCGCTTCACCGTGCCCTCCAACCGGCTGTCGGTCGGTGCCGCCGCGGCCGCAGGTCGAACCACGGCCGCCAACGCCTGGGACAGCTCCTTGGCGGGGCCGTGCTCAGCAGCGCTCTCGCGCGCTTGCTTGGCCTGCGCCATCTGCGTCGCCAGGGAGGCCATCTCACCGAAGCTCTGGATGTCCTCCATGACATTGTTGAAGTTGGCCATCATGCCACCGAGACTTCCCCCGCCACGATGGTCCTGACGTGGGCGCTGAGGCGGATGTTGAAGCGGCTTCTTGCCCATCGTACTGTCGAGACCTGGCGGCGGGCATCTAAGCCGATGTTGCCGAAGAAGAGAGGCGCGCGATTCAAGCTGAGCCGCAATGGCGTCGGCCGAAGGGATGAGGTGCTTGAAAGTGACGACAACAAGGCGAAAACATTGGGTAATCAGATCTCGCAAGGGGCCTGGAGGAGCCGGGCACTTCCACACTGCTGAGACATATTCAACTGGATAACCAAGACGGAATAAAGTCAACATATCCACAGAGATTAGGAGAATCATATTGACTGGGTGGAGCTCAACCCGAAGCCATGACTGGAGGCGACCCTTGGCCTCCCCTCGCAACTCTTGAACCTGGCGTTTATTTTAGTACACCAAGGAACGGTATGGTAGTCTGCTTGTCCATGAATATCGACTCGCCCGTGAAGGCGTACTTCTCATTCCTGTGCCGCATTTCTATCTTGAGTCCGTCGAAGCTGGCATGCAGGTAGAGGTCGAGATATTTATAGACAACCCCAGATCTGAAAACCTCAAACTTGTCGTCTGGATCAAACTTGGTGACACCACGATATGTACTCTGCAAAATGTGTGTCAAACATGTGCGGCAAAACCGATAACTGAACATATGTACGTCGTCAACATACCTCGCGGCCATGAAATCCCGAAACCGTTGCCACCACCTGTCATCACGAGAGTGTTCGGCTCGGGACAGGACAATATGAAGCAGACATGGGGATAGCGGACCACCAATGGGAACCCCACATACCTGGTGCAGAGAAACATTGCCCAGAGTGAAGTACTTAAAACCCAAGAAGCCAGCCGGCGAACGTTGGAGGGGGGAAAAAAGGAAGACAGTACGATCAACATAACGGTGATGCATCAAACCTCCAAGAATCACGGATGCCGTGCGAGAGTGCATGACCGAAATCGTCTTCATCTTGAAAGCACGATGGGCCCGATCAAAGAGGTCCTGAACAGAGCTCCAAACCACAGGGTCACTCAGCGTCTCACATGCCTGACCTGCATCCGCAACCACAAAGCCTGGGTATGACATCGGCGATCGACAGCTGGCACAACAGAATCTCCCAAGAAGATCTTGAATGGGACCTCGAAGAAGGTCGGAATTTTGCAAGAGCTCCTCGGGGGCCTTGGAGAGATCCTTCAAGGACCAGCCAGGGGTAAGAAGGTCGACCAAAAAGTTGACAGCCCTGGCAATGCGGCGATAGAGTCGGCGAGACGGCATCTTCAGAAACGAACAAACATTCCTGACACAAGAATGCCCTGGTTTCTTGCACTTTTTTGATCCATCAGTGTTGAAGCACTTGAGTTTGATGGTGGGGCACACGTACGGGAGGTTCGCACCAGAGACATTCCCAGGGCACCCCCTCATCGATTTTGGAATGGTCCAATCATAGCATAGCCTATACCAAGACAAAATACTCAATAACGGGGCCGCTGACAATCTCCACCGCTCAGGGGCTGCAGAGAGGACCCCAAGCCAACGAACCACCATCCCCCCAACCTCGAACGCCCACAAGGTATGAGGATCCTTGTCCTCAACCGTAATCCCAGTGGCTGGGGGAAGGGCCTCCAACCCCGCACAAACAGCTCTGAGCGCCTCCTCTTGGGGCGGGTTGGACGTCCTCGCAGTAAAAGTCCGAGGAGAATGTCCTGGTCCAGATGATGCCGCAACCCTGCGCGTAGACCCGCTGCCTGCCGAGGAAGGCCGACTGGGGAAGGATACTCCACAGGGCGCTAATGCTGCACACGCGGTTAACGGATGGCTGGAGGGTAATGCTGCACACGCGGTCGTAGTACGTCTGGACGGAAATGCTGCACACGCGGTTGATGTGCCTCTGGGTAAGGTATCTGCACAAGGAGGGGCCGAACTTCGCGTCCCCGAAGCTATTTTTATGAGCCTGGAGCGCGCGCGGAGCAGAGGCAGAGCAAAGATATCAGGGATACGCTGGCGGCGCAACCAACTGCTGCACTGCTGGCCCAAAGATTCGTGGGGCGTTAGGACATCGGAGCCTTTCCAGGGGAGACGACCATTACACGGGAGCCGAACCAGATCACGGCCTTCATGGATGTGCTGAAAATCTTCCAACTCGAGCGTAGACAGCTGATCAAACTCAAACGATTAGACACATTCACACCGCGACGTTGGATTGACACGACAGGGCGTATGTTGACATAGACGGTAGCCGAAACAGCCTTAGCCCATGCTGGGCGTACCAAAGCTAGTCTCCCAATAACCTGTCGAAACCAACCTCGAATAAGTTGTGCTTCGCACTCATCATCTACTAGAACACATTCTGGAACAGGTGGACATAGGTCGTTGGGCCGCATAAAATCAGCTAGGTCACCCCGTACGACAGAACGATGTGAGTGATATGGTAAGGCAGCCGCAAGAAACCAGAGAGCGTAAAAACTATCAAGCCCGAGCCGACGACGTGCCACCACATCCTGCCAAATAACTTCACGGGGTTTCCACGCCACCCACCTCACCAGGAGAAGTCCATTGGATGGGGTACGAATGTCCACAGGTCCACACGGCTGGCCCGACATGATCTGGCGTCGCATGAACTCATCATAGACCCCGAGGTAATGTCTTCGCAAAATCTGAGTCCATTCCAGATGCCGGGCTCTAGTAGACTTTTTGTCTAGAAAAAATCTCTGTAAAGAGTGCAGGCGGGCTTCCAACCAAAGACGAGAACGCTCAAATCGGTCCTCTCCCAGGCCAGAGTCCAGTCGTCGGGCTCGGCGGCCACGCCGACTGCGGGGACCCTTACCCACTCTGCCACTGCCAGTCCACGAGGGTTTGGGGGAAAGGTTATTGGCCACAGGACGTGAGATAACGATATACGAGGACTCCAGAGCCGTCGCCTCCCTGACAGACGCGAGCGTGATAAACACGATGGGGAGGAAAGACGTGCGATTAGAGCTCAGCAAAGCCCCATAACGTGCACTATCAGGAACAGAACCACGCTGAGTTCGCAGGCGATAGAAGCACCGTGCGTGCTCACGCCAGCGGCTGACTGAACCTGACACCAGAGAAGAACGCCGTTGGAGTAAACCCTGACCGATGTAGCATCCCTGCAGGCCCAACTGATAGATAAAGGCATGGCCTCGAACACCAGGAGGGGCGAGGATGCAACGTGCCTGCAGGGAAAACCAGGCATGCAACTCGGCGCAATGGAGCAAGGATGCTGGACCCTTGCGCTTGAGAGCCCACACCAAGTCCCCAGGGAGACAAAGTAGTGCCTTCTGGACTTGCTCTCGTACCCTCCGTCCACCAGTGAGACGCTCACGGAACCGTAGCATACTCAAAGACACCACAACACTCAAGTGAATCCGATGGGTGGTGAGATCCAAGGATACATCCGAACCAAAATCCAAACGAGATAGTTCCGACTCCAGGACCTCCAAGGCCAGGAACATATGATCAGATGGTGTGGGCACAACCAATTGAACCAAAGTCCCAATCAGAAGCTTTTGGACGGGGCATTCAGGGTCAAGAACATCAGGAGAAAGATCTAGAGCCGTCGAACGCAATGGGGGCATCCAGGAGGTAAGAACCCGAACTTGCTCCAACACACGGGTGCCCATGGAGATCGATGACGGTGCTAGGAGGGAATGGCGTGCGCGGAGGAACCTTCGAAACACAACATCCCCACTTGACTGTAGCGACGGCCCAGCCTCGGACATGGAAAACACGGAACAGAACCACACCTCGAGGCCTGGAAGTATTAGCCGTCGAAATAGGTACTGATAGCGCTTGCGGTACACCACTGAACCTGGGCAGTGGCTCCACTCCAGCACTGTCACACTATGAAGTGTAGTTATATGGAAATGCTCAAATCTGCAGCCCACGACCCTTGTACGTTCAAATCTTGGAAGTACGTCGGCAAGGCGAAAGCCACAGAGAAATCACAATAACAACTTGTTATCCTTTTTACAATGCGCTGCAGCTCCGTGGACCCATCCGATGTGCAGCCCAGTCTCGATTGGGCTTTGAGCGCTAGCCTAAACCCACGGAGCCTGACTCGTGCCAGAATGTGCGAGAGCAGAGAGGCAGGAGAAAAGAGATATGGCCAATAATGGCCAGGGGGTGTTAGATGGAAAACACACACACACACACACACACACACACACACACACACACACACACACACACACACACACACACACACACGCACACACGCACACGCATACGCACACGCACACGCACACGCACACACACACACACACACACGCACACGCACACGCACACGCACACGCACACGCACACGCACACGCACACGCACCACACACACACACCCGCACACTGTCAGTGGAAAGACACACACTGACTGTTTTTGTCCACAGTGCGTTTTTTTTATGTTGTGTGTGTTTTTCCCACAGTGTGTTTTTTGTGTTTTGTGTTGATTCCGAGAACGCCTGCCCTCTCGCTTCCCCCCTCGGCGAGCCGCCAGCTCGTCGCCACTGCCGCCGTGGTTTCTCCCTTGACAGCCGGGCGAGAGGTCGTCCTCGCAGTCGAGGGCATCAAACTCCAGCGCGCGGCGCTGCTGCAAGGCCTGGCAGGGCAGGACGGAACATGGCGATGACGATGATACTGATGATGCCGGTGCTGATGATGATGATGATGATGATGATGATGATGTTGATGATGCCACTGATGCTGAACAGTGGTGATGATGTTGGTGGTGATGACGACGAGGAGGATGATGTGGATGATGAAAATGCGACTGTCTCAAGATGATGATGATGCTGATGGTGGTGATGGTGCTGTCCCCAGAACCGCGGGAGGATAGAGGAATAGTGGCGAGGACCACGATCTGGGAGTCCGTGATGATGCACTCCAGGATGTGTTGGGCGATCCCCTGGCCCTCCTCGACCTCGAACATCCGCGGGCTGGCGTTGTGCATGATCACCTTGATCTCGCCGCTGTAGTCGGATCCACAGGTCCGCCCACGACGTCGATGTCTTTGAGGGCCACTCCTGAACGTGGGGCAATTCGCAGGTAAGTGCCAGGTGGCGCGACAGCGGCCACGCCCGCAGACACCAGTTCGTGAGTTCGCGGCCACAAGAAGCGACACTGGCGTCCGCGCAGGCGAATAGGTCGTAGCCTGCTGCATGAGGTGTGCCCCGAACTGGTGCTTGTGCGCTGGGGCAGAGGACCTGAATGTCGAGTTTCTTAAGCTCGCGGGCGTCGTTGGTGCCGTCGTGTTGGCGGTTGTTGCCCACTGCTTGTAATGTGAGCTGCTTGGGTGGCAGTCCCCCAGTCGGTGGTTTGAGATGGTCAAAGCTGTCGAGTGGTATGCACAGGTGGCCACTCGGAGCCGAGTCGAAGTCGAAGTGCATGGCGCCTGGGCTCCAACTGATTTCGTAGCCTCCAGGACTGGGAAACGCGAGGCGTTCGTGCGATGCGCCTGAATCCCCCGCACCGTCGTTGGACTGCTGGGCAGCGCGCCAAGAAGGGCAAGGAGATCGGCTCCTCCTCCTCCTCCTCCTCCTCCTCCTCCTCCTCCTCCTCCTCCTCCTCCCCGTCCTTCTCCTCGTCCTCAGCATCCTCCTCCTCCTCCTCCTCCTCCGTGCTGTGCTGGGTGGACACGCAATCGCGGGTAGTAGCCGCAATAGGGCAGTGAACCTCCCAATGGGCAACCTGTGAGCCGATGCCCACTCCTGCTACGTAAAGTTGCTAAGTCGGCCGCTCCTCTGCGGGTTGGGGCCTTCGTGGCTTTTTATCGGCCAGGTTCATCGCTAAGCGTTTCCCCCGGAGCTTGGTCCAGTCGCCGGTGTTCAAAATGGTGCCAAGCCGGCCGCCTGGGAGGTCGGTTCTCACCACATGTAGACAAGCGCGTTCCATTCCACTACTCGCACAGGAACTGTTCGCAAATGGGCTGGGTCCGCCGCGGGGGATCTACGATGGACTGCATCGAGGTAAACGCTTGCTGTTTATGACATTTGCGAGAACGCACATTGCGAGTAGTGGAACGCGCTCGGTGAAAATAGCGTGGTGAGTTAGTCTTTGGAGCCCCGAAACGGCGTGGTGACGCACCGTGCGGTGACCTCGAAATCCCCCAAGACCTCACCGCACGGTCCGTCACCGCACGGTCTTGGGACCTCGAAGGCCCCTGTCGCCGGAGACGTCCTCGGAGAGGGACCCGAGTTCCAAAACCGTGCGGTGACCCCGAATCCCCACTGGCCCACCGCACGGTGTGGACACCGCACCGTTTCGGGGCCCCCGACAGTCGGTGGGCTCGGAACTGGGACTGACGAGGTCGGCCACCCCAGGAACGCCGGCCGGCGCGGCGGAGCATGCAAGTCCACGCGGGCGTCGCACGGCCCTGCCACGGTGAGATCCCGCCGCGGTGCCCCAGGCGCCGGGGCGGGCTGGGCAATTCGGGCGGCGTCGTGCCGGGGCGGCGCCTCCGCGGGCGCGCTGTCGCCGGGCCTCGGCCGGGCAGGCGCCGCAGGGCGTCGGCCGGGCCTCGGCGCGCAGGGCAGTGCGCCAGCGCGGCGTCGGTGCTCTGCAAAAGCTGTAGGCGGCATGCCCGGCGCATGATGCGTCGGCACTGCGGGCGCACGAGAAGACCACCGTGTGAGAAGTACATGTGTAAAACATTCCGAGTCGTCGCCGTTGCAGGCCGCGGCGCGGGGCGCAGCTTCAGCTTGTGCGGCGGCCGGCACAGGGGGTGGATTTGCAAGTCGGAATATGTGTCCAACTCTGCGCGGCTCGTCGTCGCTGCTCGACCTGTTGCCGTAAGAGCTCATGTGCCAGCTGGGCGCCGTGGAACTCGTCGAGGTGTCGTCGTTGTGCGTGGTCGCGCGTGGTGGAGCTTGATCCGCGTTCGGATCGCACGCCGCTGGACGTCCAGGTATCGCGGCCGGCGAACCACAAGACCACTCTCCCAGATGGCTGGCTCACGTCAACGGAGGCGCGCTGGTTGAGGAGAGCCAGATCGTTGCGAGACTCCAGCATCGGTGGTAACACGGCCACCGGTGCGGACTGCGGTGGCCACGTGAAAATCGATCCACATGGCGTGCTGATGCCGATGGCTGACACTGATGGCATGTAGGCCTGGCTCGGCAACTGCACATCGGCAAGTGGGGCGGCTGGCACTGCGACTCGGGCACGTCGCTAACCCAGTCGCGCCCTGGCGAAGGCCCACGCGGGAAGGAGCGCGCTGCGGTGTCAGTGCTGGCGGTGCTGCTGATGCTGCTGGCAGTTGCGCTCCGCACTCCTACCGTGCGGACTGGCAACGTAGTTGCCAATTTCCTCGCGCGGTCGCCGCAGTTCGGTCTCATGAAGATTGGGCGAAGCAGATGAGGACGATGACGCGCCCACAGAGCTTGACCAATAACTCTGGCTAGCTGCCTGCCAGACGCCGCCGGGCGCACAGCTGGGGGCTGCTGCTGTCGATGCTGGTGCTCGCGCTGGCCGCGGAGCTGCCAAACCTGGAGGAAGTCGGCCGCCGTTCCAAGGATCGGCGCTCTACATGGGATCGCCGTCGCCGGGCCCAAGAACCACGTGTTCGGGCATCCCGCGTGTTTCCCCTGGTCATACAGACCGAATAGGAACCTGGCACTGCTTGTGGGGCGGCTGGTCGAGGTGCTCCGCGGTGTTCCAGGTGCGTGAGTGGCGAGGATGCTGGCGTGGGTGGTGGTAGTGCTGCTGAGGCAGGGGCGTCGAGGCAGAGGGCGCGCCCTTGCTGGCGCCGGCGGGGGCAGTCGCGCGCGAGGTGTTCCATGGGTCGCACTCGTTGCGCCCGAGACGAATCCCGTCGGGGCCCAGTGGTTTGCCTTGTCGGCCGAACCCCAGACCACCAGTCCGACGCCTGTCCTTTTTTCCCTTACCCCTGCCCTTCCCGAAGCCGCCGAAGGTTTCGCGGAGGTCGTCGTCTTTCAAGTTGGCCAGGAAGGCGCGGTGGCCTCTCCGAGGCCCTTGCTTTGCACTTGATGACCCCCCGCGCGGGGCGCGAGGGCTTGTTGTTGATGTTGAAGCGGCGCCATCGAGGCTGGCGCGCTCGCGCGCCCAGAGGACATGCGCGCCGCGCTGCTCCGCGGGAACTTCGCGCAGTTCGGGGCCGTCGGCGGCAATTTCTCCGCCGAGCGAGCCGACGGCCTCGGAGTCGGCGCATCGGCGGGGGCCTGCTGCTGGACATGCCGCCCGCCGTGGTGCTGAAGTGACAGCGTTGGCGGCTAGTGGTGACGAAGGTAGACTCGGTGACGCGCCTAGGGCTGATGGGCCCGTGCCATCCCAGCTCGACCCGGCCCCGGCGCCATAGGTGCTCCGATCCTGATCGCGCGCGGGCGCGCCCGTAAGATGCGCTTGGCGTCGGGGCGAATGCGTTGCCGAGGCAAGATTGCCTGGCGCCTTCGACCACGTGTCCGAATTGGCGTGATTGGCCCATCATGCGCGCCAGCTGTGGTGCGTCCGCCGGGCTGGCCGCGTCGCAGCGCTGCAGGATCGCGGCGAGCCGAGCGTTCGACGCGCCCATCGCGCACGGCAAGGTGGCCCGGGACATCGAGCCGACCGTGAGTTGACTGGCCTGCTGCGCCCTGGCGGGGAAGTTCTCGATGCGCCCCCGTGGCAATTGGTTGGAATTCATCAACGCCGGCGCCGCCTGGGCGCGCCCTCCCTCTCTGAGCTGGCACCGCCGCTCGGCCTAGCTGATCTTCAGGTGGGTCATTGGCAGCGCTGGGTCGCCGTTAGTGCGGCCACCTTGGACGAGGGCCGCGGGCGGCCGCTCGTCCGCGCGCTCGCGTGCCATGCGGGTCAAGCGAGACGAGACGGTCGCCGCTCGGTGAAACTCGTTGAGACCCGAATTCGCAACTGACCACGTCATAATCTCCCGCGCCCAGCGCCGGGAAAGCGCGCGAGCCTGCTGCTCGGGCCCCCAAGTGCAGAGGCGTCGCCTGTTCCCTCTGCCGCCGCCGCGCGTGTCCACGCGAGCGACGTGGCCGATGGCAACGGCCATTGCCACTCACTCCAGCGGCCTCCCTTCCGGAGCGGCGCCCCCGCGGGGCGTCGAGGGCGCGCGACGTCCATGGCGCCCGCCAACGGCGATGTTCTGGCGGTGGTCCTCGGAGCCGTCGCGGGCACCTGTCCCTGGCGTGCTCGCCCACGTCAGCGCACAGGGACTTTTCCCGCGATTTGAACGCTGGCTGCGCTCGGAGCACTCCGCCACATCGCGGCGACAGAACTCGTCGCGGGTCACATCGTCGCTGCGCTGAGCGCTGCCAAATGCGCGATAATCAGGAGGAGTACGCATGGGGATCTAGGCATGCTGGGGCCAGGGAATGCGCGGGCAACGTTGAGGGCCATGTCCAAGAGGACCGATGGCGAGTGGCCCCGAGCTTGCGCAATGGCCCCCAAGAAAGATTGCTGCCCAATTGCAGGGCCCCCCTTCTGAATTCCCGTTCTTGCCCGCGCGCGCCCCCCGCGGCTTCCGCGGCGCAGTCGCGGACAGCTCGGGGCGCTTTGCAGACGCCGGTGATGCGAGCGTCGAGTCGAACGACTGCTTGGCGTGGCCGGCTACGCCCACGTGCGGATGCGATGAAGGCGATGCGC